ATGCAGGAGTTGACTTCGTTAACTTTTTAATTCTATCATATCACAGGTAAAAAATTAAATACCCAATAAATAAAGAAAAACAAGAAAACTGTTCTACAAATAAGTAACTTCGGACTATAATGTAATTCATGTCTTGAAAATTATACATAGTATTTTGAATATCTGTAAAATCAAATAAACAAAACAAATGAGTGTTGACAGAAATTACTAAACAATTTTCAGCTGTTTGTTCGTACATTTCACTTTACGGGATTTATATTTGCTAAGCAAATTTCATTTCGTCTTTATTCCTCTTTGTTGGGTAGAGACTGTGAAATGTTCACAATTTCGTGAAGATAAATTGTATGAAGAGGATAACGTCGGTTGTACAATGGAAAATTAATAGTATACTCGAAAACAAATCTGTAGAACATTATTATGTCATGTCATTTGTATCCCTTCTTCATAGTTTTCCAATGTTTTGAATCGTCCGATGATCTTTTCAGACTTACATTATTAATCATACTGCAGATATAAAAAAATAGCACCTTCAAATGCCTTTTGAAAAAATGTGTAATTTTTTTATTTCTTTATAGCTATATTTTCAGTAATTTAATGTAATATCATGCAGTGGAAGTTTGCGAAATATTGTGTAAAAGACAATCATTATTAATGTCCCATATGTGTATTTACCTGTGCAGTGGTATATTAAAAGTCATTTAATGTCCGATAATCATAGATACGCCTAGTATAAATGCCTTCACATTAATTATAAAATTTTATGTTTGTGACGTGAGGTTACATATGGTGACGAAACAGAAAACGGCAATAATGTATACTTAATCAAGTGAATGGGAGGAGTATGTTGGAATGTACCTTCACTAAGTGGAGAAATAAACAATGAGGAGTCTCCAATCGTTTCCTTTTTGCAGTTATATTATTTCATAATTATCAAATGGTATAATTAAGTGAAAGAAAAATAACTTACGTGCTTGCTTTGAAAAAGAAGCACGTGTCTACGTATAAACTAATGCAAATTATTGATATTTAATCGAGTAGTTTTGGTCGTAAGGTTGTAGGGGTCATTTGACCCGGCATGAATTACTTATAAATCAATACTAGGTACCACATATAACAATAACTTTAGAAACTATGCCGTCAATTCTTGTTGGTACAAGTGAGTACACAGGTAAGCTAAATCTGTCCACCAAGGGGGAGTGGTTTTCGTCAAAACATTTTTGTACGGCATTTCTAAAGTATATAGGTTATACAAAAAAAAATGAACCTCGACCTAATGCCGTACAAAAATAGCAATACCGGAAGCCAGGAAAACTTGATTTTCCGAAAATTTTGGCCCGGGTTTTGGTGATTTATTACAGTACCTACGGCATATTAATATGCGTACAAGATGTAAACGGTTAAAAAAAAACAGTTACGAACGTTCAGTAGTCTATTTAAATAGTTGCAGAGAAACTTCCTTTTAAAAGAATTTCACTAAAGTTGATATTCCTAATAAGTTAGACTTGCATTTACATAGTAAGCGCTTCAAATTGTTTTCACTCCCAGTAATTCTAGTTACTCTAACAGAAACGTTTATTGTTCAGCTGATTAGCATTATGAACTGGCATGCCTTTGTTTACCATCGTTTTCTTTGATTGCATGTATTCATTCTCTGCTTCACGTTTGGTAATATGTCAGATTAAGCGTATGTTGCCCGGGCACTGACAGTAATTCCACTATTTTTGTTGTAAATTTAATTTTTATCACACACATGCGTCACCTTAACATTGTCGTTGACATTTTAGTTTCTATTTCGAGAGGACCAAAATAATATCGCCCGTAATGTGACAATGGTTATTTATATTAGTCAAAATCGATATTTGTTTATATAGAACCACGCTAATATGTTTCGCATTAATTTGAATACCGAACGACAGTGTTAAAAAATGAATTAGATATGTGGCATTTATGTAAATATGCGTGTGTCCAAATTGTAAAATAAAGCCTATACATGAAAGTATGGTATTACACAACTCGATACGAAATTTATGTATCTATGTCTGAAATCGAAGTGAGCGGTCGAGAATGTTTTATTGGAAATTACACTAGGACAAATCGGTCTATTTTTGACGGGAAAAAGGTGATCTCAGCGTTCGGAAATCTACTTACTATGCGAACAATTAAAAAAATTACTTTTTGAGATACAAACGCGTAGTATTCTGTTGTTGTGATTGATGTTCTAGAAGTTCTTTTCACCCTGTACATTACTGATGGATGTAGTCTTAATCAACTTAATTTTCTTTATGATTATATATAACATCATAACATATAATAATATAAGAGAAAGTCCTTAATTAATCGTAATAAAGTTAATTTATTACTAAAAGAGCTATCAAAAACTATTAATAAAAGTAATTACATAGAGAAAACACATTAAAATGGTCAATGAAATTCTCACAAACAGGAAAAGTAAAATAATGAAAGTAAATGTTTAAGGCAAGTAAATATTATCCTTTATGTTTTTACATTTTAGTTGATTCATTAAAAAAAATAGAACTTTGGGAAAGAAAAATACAAAAGCGTTCTTTTTTCTAACAACTTATCAAAATTTTATATTTATCTTTTTTTCACATTATTTGGGGGAAATATACAGGGTGTTTTCTTTTTAAACCCACTAGCTTTAACAGATAACGAGAGACTTCATTTTGAACAAAAAAGTTCATGTTCACGTATATCATAAGTCGCTTCCAAACCGAGATACAGGGTGTTGAATTAATTTTTTTACACTTTTTTGGTGATATCTAAAAAAGAGTAGGTACTAACGAAACCAAATTGGGTATATCTTGTGGCGACATAAGGTCCATTCACTACAACTACCAGTGGCGTGGTAGAAGGATAATCAGTGCCCATTTCTAAAATGTAATTCTACGCCTATGAGTTTTTTGAAATTTCATTTTCACCAAACCATGGTTTACTAGATATGTCTCTTGTAAGAACAGCTTTTTAGTTTAAAATTAATCAACGATTTGAAAAATAAAAATTTAAAAAAAATCCATTTGCATAGAAATTCTTTGTAAAAATGCGGTATTTTTGGTTGTAGCGGAAACATGAACTTTTTTATTCAAAGTGAAGTCCTCTATCAACTGTTAAAGTAGTACCTTTAAAAAAGGAACGCCCTGTATAGTTTCCCCCTTTTTCCCTATTTATTTTATGAGATTTGACAAAATACAAGGTATTTTTAAATTTGAAATAGAACGTATATTTTCAATTGATCAGTACAACTAGGTACTTAAGAATTTATAACACAGATACACTAGAAGGAAGATATGTTAACTTTTAATGCCACATATATTGATTTCGCACTGCAAGTAAATACAACAGTATAATAGAGAATAACTACATAAGTGGAAATTGCAAAAAAATGTTGGCTAGTGCTTGTAGTATGTATATGGAGTATCAATAGAATTTGTTAAAAACCTGGTTAAAAACTATCTAACTAAAAATCTCTTACACCAACCGTATATTAAACTGTTGAAAGCCAGCACATGTAAGCTACAAAAACCTTTGAAATTACACATGCGTTTAAATTGCACGAAATGTCATGTTTTATGAACAATTAATTGCAATAAAAGGACCATTAGAACTGAAATTGCTTGCTATCGGGTTTTGCATTAAATGACATGTTATTAAACAAGAACAACATACAGGGTGTCCTAATTAAAACGTATTCTTTCGTAGCTCTGATAATGTCAACAATACAAAACAGGTTTTCGTATTTTACAATTATTCTCCATTATACGAAGTATCGCATCTCTTCTGGGTGTTAACTAAATTTTTCAAATTTTAAAATGTGAAAAAATTGATTTAGTTATATTTTTATTTGAAACGTTTTTTTTGTCCTATCAATATTACCAGAACTATGGAAGAATATACCCAAATGGGACATACCCTATGCTTTAATAATCTTGGAAACTTAGTCAGTAAAATAGTTTAGCGATTTCATATTTATTGTATCAGCATGCCTAAAAACTACCTAGGTACCAATTGAAAACAATACGTCATAATGAATCATTTGTCTTGAGTGATAGATCATTTGGTTGTTACCTATTTTGTGTCTCGACTGATTGTCCTATGATATACATTTATTAATTAAACCGTATTTGCATAATATTTTAATATATCAGTCACAATTCCATGTAAAGTTGATGTACCAACCTACGATGGTCCATAAATGAAATCGTTTAGCTTAATTTTCATTAATAAATTATAATGTCATTCAGCAGGTTTGTTATGATACTGCGCTTCACAGTTTCTATAATATCTTAAATGTTAAACCAAACATTTATTTATTCGTTACTTTCGGTTGGGATAATCCATCTGATATCGTCGTCTTGCAACAACATCGTTTTGTCCTGACAATATATTCCAATACATTCCATAATATCATACAGAAACATAAAAATTAAATAAAAAAAATACACTGTACCTTGGCTAAATACTGAAATAGATAAGTGTTACACTACACAAACATCTTCTCGTAAACTAAACTGAAAACTAGAATAAAAACGTGGCATTTTATCTTGAACTCGTTTACCATCCCGTCGTATCATACCATGTGTGAAGTCAACTTTTGTTGTACGGCATTTTATCTTCCGTTGCCCTTCGGAAGCGCTCGGAACAGAATGGAATTCTGCTTAAATTTAGGGTCGTTGACACTGAGATTTACAAATAATTATACTGATTAAATAAAACAATTTTAAAATATTTAATATCAATGTGTCTAACAATTGATTTAAAAAATGGGTAACAACTGGCTACGTTGATAGTGCACTGATACATCTTACCAGGCTAGTTCCTGGTGGGCCGATTTACGCTTTCCAGAGGGTACTATCTTTTTTTCTTTACGATTATAAAATTGCGAATAAAAAGTTTTATTACTACCATTATTTTAAAATAGTTTTCAAAAAAAAATTATCAACAACACGAAAAATAAATTTTAAAGATGTAAAGTCGTTACTCACGCTTCCTTCTCCTTTTCCTTCTTCCTCTCCTCCTCCTTTTCCTTCTCCTTATCCTTGACGTCCTTTTCCTTCTCGTCGTGCATGTTCACCGTAGTGGGCGGAGGAGGCAGGTCGTCCATCGGAAGAGTATCCTCGGGAGGGGTGGGGGGCGTCTTATCAAACTCCGCAATGGGCGCCAGTTCCGGCATCGGTGACACGGAATTGCTATCCATTATCCAAGGAATTTTGGCGGCTTATCACAAGTTCAACGAGTCGGCACGATAAAACACCGTCAACGCCGGTTTTTTCGGCTATACGAGACGCACACCTCGACACAGATTTTCAACTGTCGTCGATCATTAGCGCGCGTAATCGAAGAAGTCGTCGGTTCGTGCGGCGTTGATTGTCTCGCGCTCGAAATTAGTCTTGTTTCACAGCCGGCTTCGGTGCGAGTGAAAACCTACGAAAACAATGCCTGGCGCAACAATTGAGTAGCGTGCAGGACGGGGTTCAAAGCCATCTCCTGCAAAAAAGTAAAAGTTTATATATTATTCATTTGCTGTGGTGCACATACGTGCGATATATATCTCGGCATATACAGGGTGTTAAAAAAAATATTTTAAAATAATTTAATAGGAAAAGTACCTACTCTAAAAAATAAGGAAAAAATTGTCAGCAAACGCTTCGTGTTTGTGTTAGTTCTAAAAAAAATCTGTTTTTTGTAAATTTGACGTGAGTTTAACCAAATAAATCTACGCGATTTGAATATGGCGATGATAAACGAGATAATGCAGGGGCGGAGGTTCAAGGGTATCCTCATCTTTTTTTGGAACAATACCACACCACTGAAATTTTCGCATTAATAATATTTTTCATAAAAAAAACAGCAAATTAAAAGAGGTACTAGTATCTTTTCGATAAAACGTGTTCTTGAGAATATGCATAGAATTTAACATATTTGTTAATAAATGATTTTTTAATGCCTTTAAATTTTACAAAAATTCTAGTTAATTCTTTATTATCTGTTCTGAAAAAACTTGATGTTGTTGTTGTTGTTGTTTTGAATAAATTTTATTTTCTGATTAAATAAATTCATTATTAAGCGGAATTTGGTTTTCATTGTTTGCATAGGTTGTAATATCTATTTATAGGCCAGGAAAAAGAGCTGGGATATGACCATTTCGTGACTTTTTGTTTCGGCAAGCTGAATTTACCACTATAGATGCTAAATATTATGTACAATAACATATTAGTTTCCACAGTCATAAAAATGGGGGGAATATTGTTTACAGGGTGGTTAATTGTATAATTTTTACGTAAATTCATGTTTTTCGCTTATAACTTTCTTCTGTTCATTTCCATGAGAAAACAGTAAAGTCCTTTTTTTTCGGCTTCAGGAGACCTACAAAACTAGTCCTCGATCGTCAAAAAATATTGATTAGATCAAAAGTTATAAACAGAAGAAGTTTATTTATGACTTTTGAATTAAACATTTATAAACTGCGTTATTATTACCAGAACGTTTTGGCATCGCATCCTCTCATTCTTTATCACTGTCTAATAACTCACACGAAATCTGGAGTCGGTAAGTTGAATAGTTTACAACTTATGGCCTTATAAACAAATTAACTAATTATTAGTCTGGATGATCCCGAGGATCTTCCACAATCGCACTGATTTTTTTCATGTTAGATTTCATAATAATACATTAAAATCTATAATTTTTTTTTAATTTCAAAATTGCAACTAGGAAATTTTTTTATTTTTTAGCCTTAGTTGCAAAATGCGACGCACGAGCGTGATATACTGATATATTATTACATATTCCGAAAGCTTATGAAAAGAGCTTTAAGTTAAAAAAAATCGTCAAGATTCGTTGAAAAAGAACGGAGTTACAGACTGGCAAAGTTGACGGCCTATTGTTAAACAAATTAGGTTGGTAGCGGCAAAAAAAAATCTGTCATAACCGGCAACCCGAGTACTTTCCCAGATAAAAATATTTTATCTGTGGAAGTATGTTAAGTGCATAAGAAATATTGTTAAAAGTCAGTGGGCGAGCCATGGCGCGACGGAAGGGTGGGGAAAGCGAACGACAGCGAGTCCGAAGAAAATGACGATAATATTCATGGTCCTGCCGTTAAAAAAGTGAAATTCGCTTGAAAATAATATATTTGACAGTCTGTAACTCCGTTGTTCTTCAACGAATCTTGACGATTTTTTTTTACCTTAAAGCTGTTTTCATAAGCTTTCCAAATATGTAACAATATATAACTATATCACGTGCGTCGTATATTTCATTTTGCAAAAAAAAACTCCAGGTTGCAAATTTGAAATTAAAAAAAAAAAGATAGATTTCAATGTATTATTATGAAATCTACCTTGAAAAAAGTCAGTGCGATTGTGGAAGATGCTCGGGATAACGCAGTTAAAATGTCATAAATAAACTTCTTCTGTTTATAACTTTTGATCTAATCAACATTTTTTGACGCTCGAGGGCTAGTTTTGTAGGTCTTTTGAAGACAAAAAAAAAGTAGGTACTTTACTGTTTTCTCGTGGAAATTAACGGAAAAAAGTAATAAGCGAAAAACGTGAATTTACGTAAAAATTATACAATTAACCACCCAATAATTTGACAATAACAGAACTATAACAAAATATTTATTGGTCGCAAAATATAAAAAATATAACTTATTTGTTATTAATATTCACGTTGATAGTTCACCGGCACGCCAGGCCAACAGAGGGTGCATTAGGGTGCTGCTAGATACGTATCGAATAAATTGATCGATGCGAAGCTTTAGATCAGAGGCAAAAATAATTCATTTATTAAATTAGCCTATTTGCTAGCTATTTTACTTTACTTATCCAGTGTCATGCGTCTAATTAGAAACAAGTTATGCATGGGTCACCCGGTATATCTTGAAATCAAACATGCTATGTTCTGCCATTATGCCACGGTATTAAAATCAATAAAGCTTAGTGTCATTGTACGTGTAGAATGAATGGAAATATTCCGACACTTCTAAAATAACTACCGATTCACCAAAATACCTTTGCGTTTGATTGCTTTTATATTTCTGGTGTTTAATATTTTCAAAAATGGAAGACCTCTTTACATTTAATTTAAAAGTTGCTAAACTTTAGCCTGTCGACATTAAATCTTCTTTGACATGAAAAGAAGCTCTGAGGTGTTTAAATGTTTCCTTCCCATTTGCTGAATTTAATATTTCCAATATTTTTTTACATCGGTTTCGCACCGAACAATTTGCAGGCAATTTTATTAAAATGTTACATTGACCTACCACTGACCTACTATTTCTTCTGGTCAAACACTTTATAACATTTATAAAACATTACTTTAATTAATTGTAGGAGACGACTGCGTCTAGAACCTATTCCGAATGTCTCAGTAAAAAGTTTACCAACAAACTTAAGTTAATTACTACCTTGACGACCATATACAGGCGTTACAAATTTTTTAACTGTTGTTGTAAGTCTGAAGTGACATTAAGGAGCTTGCCGCGTTCCAAATTCCAAATGTCACAAGTGCTAATGTTAACTGGCTATTACAAGCCTCTAATTATCATAAAACTTCTAGTCACTTTTAGGTGTTTCAATTTTAATGGTGTTGTGTTAGTAATTTAACAGACACGATTAGATTAAATTATTAAATTAATCATAGTTGTTACAAATTGGCACGTTTGTCTGAACTTATTGATCTGTTTTGAGTCTACGGCGAATGCTAGCAAAACGCAGTAGACGCATCGCGATGTTATGCAGAACGTTTTCCTCTGTTCGCATTTAAGTCAAATTTTCGCGTTAATTTTGTCCCATTTACTGAGTGATTTATTAAAAAGTGATGCTTATAGGAAGCTGTCGGGAAAAAGAAGTTTCGTGGAATGTTGCATCGACTAAATATAGAAACAAAACAAAAAATACTGGGAGAATTAGTTGTTAAAAATCGATATTCAACAAAAATATGTCAGATTGCATCCTCTAATCTCAATCTGCTAATAAAGTGGTGATATTGTAGCATGTAGTGTGGTGTGATGCTTTGAAAAAGATGCCTTTGCCAGTTTGGTGGACGATTTCGCTTATATTTAAATATTTTGTTGAAAATGCCGGGTGGTTACAAACTCGGAGTAGGATAATTGTAGGTAGAATACACTGAGAAGTATTTTCAATAGTTTAAATTGTTGAATCTTCAAAACGTTGGTTAAAATTAATATTAATCGAAATTGTTAAAAATTATTGAGAACTTCTGGAATCGTTCCCGACTTACATATCGCATAAAAATGGGTGAATAGTTGTGCCCAAAAATGGCGTGTCGTTTACTTTTTGTCTCGTGTTTTGTAGTTCAATTTAGCATAGTCATCAGTTCCTGAAACGTTTGTCTTTTATTGCAAAAAGTATTACTAAGCAAACATTTATTTTTCTAGATTCTAATTTTTAATTTTAGCATTTTATTTTTGTAAAATGATAATGTTCTTTTAGTGCCAAGAAACACAACAAAATGTTCAAGCAATACAGGAACAATGAATATTGGACATGGTGATAACGAAGGTAATGTTGATGAAATGTATGAATTCACTATACAATTTATGTGCAGGGACTTCCAAATAGGCGTAGGCCACCATTCGTAAACAGATGTAGAGCTATAAATGGAGTCAGCGGTCCCAAAAATGTTTTCATCGCAGTATATACGTACGTTTAAGTAAAAATAATCTATTTAGAAAAAATTTTTCTGTCAATCGAGTTTTCTCATCCTCAGTTTATTTACTCTTCCGATATACTCTCCAAGTTTGTAAAGGGAAACTCAGTTTTCGACGACGTCCTTATGATTTTTATAAACGTAGGTAAAAATATTTATCTGCTTCCACTATACTAAATAGACTATTAATACATTGTTTTTAAGGAGGTAAGTGGATTTTATGTAGAAGTGGAAGTCGCTATCGACAACGGGAGGTAAGCCAGTTAACTTACCTCCCCAGGGAAAACAGCGATTTCGAGCTATAAATGCATTTTATGAACAAATAAATAGAAGTATTTGATGAACTTTACATCTTATTAATTATTATGAATGAATATTTATAGTAATTGTACAGTTATTACATTCAGTAACATTTATAATCTGGATAATTATTCCCTTTGCGTTTACTAATTGTCACATTTTTTCAAAATGATTTGACCGCTCCATTTCAGTCACCGGAGGTTAAATATTATCTGACCGATCCATTAAAACATCATGATGCGACGTACTACTAGAACCTGGTGTTGAGGTGTCATTGTAAAGAATCCTGTTGGCTATTTCATTTTTATTTCTTAAACTGTGAGCAACATAACTTTCTGCAATTGTAGCTAATTTCCACCCACTATGTCTCTAGATTGCTAATACATCAACTTCTGTAACGTTGCCGATGTTCTTCGGAATGAATGGCCTGTATATGTTTCAGGATGTTCTAGTTTCAAAAACTGTGCAACAAAGTGAAAATATTGCTTGCTCGTACTAATTCGTAATAAACA